CAATGAGGTTTTTTTATGCACTTTCATACTCTGATCAGAACTCTGTGATTCAAACAAGAAAACGAAAATCATAGTTCCTAGATCTGAACATAAAAATCATAGCTCAAAGATCAAGCAACCCTAAACTCGAAGAAGAGATAGAGAGAGAAAGATTACGAAAATCTCAAAAGTCAATGGCATACCTCAGTGGCTACTCGAAGAACAGAGGGGCGTGCTGCAAAAAGAGGGGTGCTCGACGAAGGGGTGCTCAGCGAAGAGGAGTGCTCAGCGTGAAAAGCTGTGCTCAGCAAAGAAGGCTGCTCAGCATGGAAAGCTTCTCAGCGGAAAAGGGGTTCTACAGTTAGGGTTATCTCGAAGGGGTACTGCAGCTAGAGTTATCAAAGTAGGAAGTATCGAACTTCCTATTTTGAGTTCCAACCTTTGGGTCGGAACTTTTTTTAAACGGGAGATGGGAAGATGCAAACTTCTTATATGAAGTTCTTTTATTTTATCAAACACAAGAAGTTGGACACTTCTAATAACTTCTCAACTTCCTGAAGTGTCTTCCTGTTATCAAACACGCCCCAAGTGTCAGACTGAATTTTTAAAGACAGAATTTCGGATGTGATCATGTGGTCCACCACTTCTGATGAGGTCTAGCAGTCCAAGTACTAGATCAGGGGGGAATTTTGAGGCAAAAATAAAAACTCAACAGAAAAAAGGGACCCCAGAGTAAAATATGAAAATTTTGGGATTATATTTTAATACTAAAATGTAGGATTTTTACGTTAACTATCCTTGGACCTTTAGGATTCAGTCGAAAAAAATAAAAGAAATGGATTTGGCGTACTTAAGATAACTAGATCTGACCCATCCAAAAATAAGACAGCGGGCTTGATTTTTTTTATTTTTCTTTTGACAGATTCAGGATCGTATCCTAGTTTTTTCCTTTTTGTAGGTTGGAGATTATCCTCAATTTGGAGTCCTAACAATACTGGTTGATAGGAATTTTGGTCGATAGGAATCTTGGTAGAAATTGTTGGATTGAAGGGGATTCTTTAAATATTATTAGATGGTCTAACAAAGAACGGAAGGTCCCTTGGGAGCTTCAATCCCTCTGGTTGCAGGTTATAGATTTGGTAGAAGTTTTATCAGTTTCTTTCGCCCATGTGTATCATGAAGCAAACACTTTAGCAGATTCTTTGAGTAACGGTGGTGCTTCTTTACCTTCTCTTGTTATCTCTAGTGATGTAACTTCCTTTTCTTAATAAAAATAAAAGTTACGAACATTTGTCAAAAAAAAAAAAAATACTAACGGTTGTTTTGCTCTAGGAAGCCAGGATACATTTTGGTTCCTCTTATAAGCTTTTCTAGAGCGGGACCTTGGGATAAGATGGGGATGATGATTGATATGATCTTTTCAAGAATATTTATTTTCTTAAATATTATAATTATAGTATCTTAAGAAAGATTACGAGAACTATCAAATTTGAAGTCCTAAAATATTTGATAATCCTTTTTGCCATGCTTTAGAAACTTGGTTATTTCTACATATTACACACGAAATGCAATCTGAATCACTAGTTGCTATTGAGAAATTTCATTTTTATAAAAATCTGCTACCTATGAGTTTTGCTTATCGAACCGAATAAACAATCTGATCCCACTGGACCACCCCCAAACATAGACCCAGAAGAGATAATGCCATCATCTAGCACGTTCATTACTCTCTTTAGAAATCTATGGATTTTGGCATGCATAGACTGTCTAAAAACTGGCCGATTCGACTCAGGGTTGTACGCTTGGGAGCTAGGTGATTTTGGCAAAATAAAAAAATAAAAAAATTTCTTGCTAAAAATTGGGAAAGTTATATATACCCCCGACCTTACTTTTTTAGGCATGTCAATACTTTTTTAAATCATACTACTGATTCCAATATTATTTATTTTTGTATCTACCCAAGTGAGAAAGCAGTTTTTTTCTAACAAAAACACCACCATGTATGAACCTACATTCTTTCCCATCCCTATAGTTCTTTTCTAATGAAGATACCCCCATGTATGAACCCACATTCTTTCCTATCCCCTTGCTCTCTCTCAGGGCGTCAAAAATTTTACAGCGTCCATCTATACATATTTGATATTTGATATTGATTCTCTCTAAAAAATTTTAGATAATTTTTTTAAGATGTCCTCTTTCTAAACATTTGAGATAGTTTCTCTATCTAAAAATTTGAAATTTGAGATAGTTTTGCTATCTGAGATAGTTTTGAAAAAGTGAAACGATATTAAATATACAGGTATTTTCATTTTAAAAAGATTACTTTCTTACTTGAGAGGAAGATGCAAAAGTAATAATATTGGAGTTAATGGTACGGTTTAAAAAGTATTGAGGTGGGGCATTACCTAGAAAGCATGGTCTAGAGGATATCTATAATTTTCCCCTGCTCTGACTCAAGACTTGCGAGTCTGGCAATCACGAGAGTGGGCCAGCTAACAAGTCGGAGCTTGAGCATGACTTTAAGGCATGGTGAAGTGTGCCCGACGAGTCAGTGCCCTGAGTCCGACTTTTTAAACACCGGAATAAACACATTGAAGTGTGCCGTAAAAGAGTTAGTTACAGATGTTCTCCATGTGAAATTCAAATGCTTGCATTTGAATTCCAACTGGAAGGCATCAGTTTTTCCATTTCATTAGGATATTTAGCCCTTACAGATTTCGAATTCCCTTCTGTACTTACCACTTCAATTTTCAAATTTCTAAGCAATGGGGAGAATTTGTTAGCAATGAGAGGGGATCAATTTTTGCAAGGAGAATAAGAGATTCCATTTAGCATCAATCGATATGTATTTCACGGTTATGCCGTGTTGGTCAACCCAAGTAAGATTATTGGGCCCGTGGACATTTAAGTATTCTCCATGTACTAAAAAGAAAAAGTATATATAAGGTTGAGGCCCCAAACAATCAAATTAAGGCTCACCTCAAAAAATCAATATAAGTTGTTTTGATGCTGAAAAACCCTCGAATAGAATCATCTTGATCTTGAGATACATGGACATAAAAAAAATAGACTTCAAGTCCTGAAAATAATGCATCTTCTAATGCATTATCTAGACAATCCATTTTCAAGATTTTCAAGTGTTCAAAGATCTACTTGATATACACTACTTTTTTAAGCTAGAAATTTCATAATTAGATATGAAAATAAATTTTCAATCCATCATAAAGAATTTCAGTGCTGAAACAACTTCTTTCGATACTATTTGAAGGCGATCCTTACTTTGATTGTTTAAGGCCTCAGCCTTATATAACCCACATCCTTTACTAAATCAGAAACTTAATTAAAGAGAGAGAACCATGAAAAGCCAAAACAAAAACAACTCTCAAGTATCTGAAAGTTCATATCAAATTTAAACTGAAGTTCACTAAACAATCTGGCATATGTGATTTTAGAATTATATCACTTGGGCCATAACTATTAATACCTCATCAAAACATAGAAACAACGGAAGACTAGATTGCTGTCATTTGTTAATGTTAGGAATGTTGACTCCACAAAATAAGAGATTAAAAGTTTAGAACACTGTTTCTTGAAGTGACTTTCATCCAAGCATATCCCCATACTTTTAATCGGTGACCTAATAGAATGATACTTTTACGAAGCTCACAAACACATAATTTTGATTGGTGAGCTAATATAATGAAACATTTACAAAGGTCATAAACACCTCAAGCTGTTAAATGTAATATAAGATGAGCAGTCACAAACACCTCAAGCTGTTAAATGTAATATAAGATGAGCAATCACAAACACCTCAAGCTGTTAAATGTAATATAAGATAAGCAGTGTCATTTTCTCACAAGTCTTAATTTCTCGAACTTCGAGTGTGGCAATAATATGACTGCAGTTGTAAAATTTTACATCCAACAATGAAGGGGTAATTATAACATTTTTGTTCCAATGAGAATAGTCTGGAAAATTTATCAAGATAAATTATTCAACATTTTACACGATTTGCAACTATTCCAACTTAAGATCATGTATATTTTTCATGAGTATTTTGTAATTAAATCAAAAGATATGGGTAAGATGTTAAATTGTCCATCTCTAATGGGGTATTTTGATAAATCATCTTTTGCATACATCTCCATTTGAGTAAAGCCATCATCAGATGAGCTGAAAGGAGGGTGTATATAAATTGAAGCATCCTTTTTTTGCTTGCTGAAATTTGGAAATGCCACAAAACAGGGAGATAATGATCAAATTTGAACAGCACAATCAATAACACAAAAGCTTAGGCAAAGCATGGGCATTCTTCTGGGTGGAGTTGGATTTCGAAGTTTTGATTTTAGAGTTTTTGGTTTTGTTTCAGTGTTTATGACGCTTCTTCTCTTGAAGTAGGGAGTATGCCTTGTATTCCCCTGCTTCTTCCTCTGTTTTGTAATTTTGGAGCTCTGATCCTTATCTAATGAAACTCACCGTTAACAGTTAAAAAAAAAAAAAGAAAAAGAAAAAAGCATGGGCATTCTGTTCTTTGACCCCAGAGAATCTGCATGAGATAACGAATAAGTAAAAATTAAATGTTGAGAAACCGGTAAGGATGATTATGGAGCATTTTAAATATTACAATTATAATATTTGTGCCGCAAAAATGCTATTGCATATATCAAATAGACAGCCGCACGAACGGGTCAACAAAAAATTGAGAATTATAAAAGCAAACTTTGTGCTATAACTAGGCCTCCCCATGTTTTTTTTTGTTTTCTGATGAGCATTTCTGCATGTGGTTCAACATTTCCCCGATCTCACTGTGAACTTGCAAATACAGAGTGAAAAGAAATGGAGGCATCCAGCCATTCCTCAGTCTTAACTAATTCTATATGCACAGCATAGCAACCCGGTTCCTTCTTACATGCCAAAAAACAATAAAGCAGAACAAAATAAAGAACCAAAAAGGCAGTAAAAGAAAAAGTACACTAAGAAACGAGAATATAAACCAAAGAGAGCAGAAACACGGAAGAAAGTTAACAGATAATCGTCATCACTACCAATCAGAGAATTTATTGGAAAAGAGCAAATGTATAGTTACATGTTTTTTTGCTACGAAAAGCAAAGGGGATGTACAAATGCAGAAATGAAATAGACTGAAAGAAAGATACCCACTTTTCTGTATTTTTCTTCATTGTATATTGCCAGTAATGATGTCATCATTATCCTCCATTGCAATGATGGATGGTCCCATTGCTAGAGCATGCACCTTTGCGCTTTGAGCCCACCCCTTCCACTCCCCATATGCGTATAGTGCTGTCATCGCTGGCTGAAGCAAACATGTGAGCGTTTACAGGATTCCAACTCACACAGTTTACAGCCCCTGAATGACCTGGTAATACCTCAAATAACTCCCTCGTTCCTCTATGCCATAGATAAACCTGCATATACCAAGTTCTCAGTGAGATCAGATGGAAAGAAGCATACACAAAAATATGCAAAACTGTACTTGAATACGTGCATATAAGTACACATTGTGACTCATGTGCTTGTGGTAACAGTGGACATGATCATTGTCCTGTCATTGAGTTGGATGGTGATGCAGGGATATTGAGACACATACAAGTGAACTATCACATGTTTGGCATGTCCCACTCCATTGATATTCAACTAAGGGATGAGATGGTCATTACCCATGTCACTGTGACCATAATCATATACATCACATGGTGCGCATGCATTTGCATGCTGTGCGTGTTTTCTTTTTCTTTCATTTTTTGGGGTGTGTGTGGGCGGGGGGGGGGGGAAGAGATTATTCTGCAACTATTCAACACGTGAAATATGTGGCATTAGTGCCATCATCACCACGCACCCCCCCCCCCCCCCCCCCCCATCCAAAAAAAAAAAACAAAACAAAAAACACTGTTCAACCCATTGATTGGATGTTGGTCATGGGTGTTTGTATAGCACGTCCTACCAGATACCTTGATAGCAGTGGAAGGCAAAGATGAAAAGTGTGGTCCTCTAGGTCACATACAGATAAAAAAGAAAGCAAAATGGGTAGCATAAATATGCATGGAACACGAGTTTGATAGGGCTTCATGTGAATGTCATGGATCTTCCCATGTGACCATTACCAAAAACAAGTCAAAATATTGCAAAGCCCTAAACCTTAGGGTCTCCCTAATATGTGGATGATATGACACATTAGAAATACTTGCGATGTAGCTACAGATGAAGGAAGAACTATTCTGGAGAGAACTTGTCAGAGGGTTATATACTCAAAATCCATAATTCATTAGAGGTGATGCACCAGTTCTTTGCAGGGTCTGCATACTACCATGGAGTTCACCATATACCTTCTCTGAATGGGAGCGTGTGATAAGAAGCCAACATCATACTATAAAATATGCAATTATATATGAGGCCAAACTAAACATCTAGGAAGCACAAGGGAGAGAGAAAAAAAAGGAAACAGCATAACATTTTCACTAGAGAAATGTATAATATCCTTGCATTCAAAACATTGTTTTTTTATGTGTCATTGAGGCCATTCCATTTCTAATCTTAAACTTTCAGAGACTCCTAAGTCCTAACAACACTTGGGAAGTAACTAATTGTCAATTACTCTCAAGGACTCATAAACCTAAATTACAATTTGAACCAGTGCATCCTTATATACTGATACTAGCAAGAAAAAAGTAAGTACAAGAAGATCAAGAACTATTTTTAGATTCAAAATTTGTATGTAATAGATTTAAGTGCAATTCTTTTCTGAAAATTAAGACTTAAAGTGCAAATTAGATCTTGGATGTCATAGAATGCCCACATTTTTCTTCCAAATTCTTTTTTATGCGCTAATGTAAACACTAACACCTCTGACTATTTTTTTCCTCATATCAACCTATAGAAATGGAAAAACAAGACACATGGCTATAGAAATAGTGATAACTAACCTCAGTGTCCCAAGTCAAATAGAAAATAGATGTTAACATAGATGTCAGGAGTCTACCTCCAATTAATTTCATTAATCTACTAAATTGATTTAAAAAATAAATCACTTTTAACCTAAATCTTCAGCCACACAACGGTAATTATATAGCCCTACAACCCCAAAAATTGCTACTACTTTAGATCTCTCATTCTAGTTGTAAGCATGGTGCCAAAGTCAGAGGGTTGTATACACAAAATCCATAATTCATTTGAGGTGATGTACCAGTTCTTTGCAGTGTTCTGCATACTACCATAGAGTTCACCATATACCTTCTCTGAATGAAAACATGTGATATGAAGCCAACACCATACTATAAATTATGCAATTATATATGAGGCCAAACTAAACACCTAGGAAGCACAAGGGAGAGGAAAAAAAAGGAAACATCATAACATTTTCACTAGAGAAATGTATAATATCATTGCATTCAAAACATTGTTTTTTTATGTGTCATTGAGGTCGTTCCATTTCTAATCTTAAACTTTCAGAGGCTCCTAACAACACTTGGGAAGTAAGTAATTGTCAATTACTCTTAAGGACTCATGAACCTAAATTACAATTTGAACCAGTGCATACTTATATTTTGATACTAGAAAGAACAAAGCAAGTACAAGGAGATCAAGAGGAAGTATTTTTAGATTCAAAATTTGAATGTAATATAAGATTTAAGTGCAATTCTTTTCTGAAAATTAAGACTTAAGTGCAAATTAGATCTTGGATGTCATAGAATGCCCACATTTTTCTTCCAAAGTCTTTTTTATGCGCTAATGTAAACACTAAAACCTCTGATTATTTTTTTCCTCATATCAACCTATAGAAATAATAAACAAGGCATATGGCCATAAAAAAAGGGATAACTAACCTCAGTGTCCAAGTCAAATAAAAAATAGATGTTAACATAGATGTCCAAAGTCTACCTCCAATTAATTTCATTAATCTACACTTTAACCTAAATCTTCAGCCACACAACAGCAATTATATTTATATAGCCCTACAACGCCTAAGAATTGCTACTAAGCTAGATCTCTCATTCTAGTTGTAAGCATTGTGCCAATATATGGCATGTCTTACTCACCTCCCCTACAACATATAGCGGCTTGAGAATGGTTAAATATATTGTCTATACCACTCAACTCCACAACCTCACCTCCTCGCCCTCTCCCTCCAACCAAAACCAATGTTCAAAAATCTGAAAAGTCCATCTCGAACTCACCTGGGTTACTTGAACCCGGCAACATCACCTTTGAACCAGCCGAGTCTCACCAGTTTCAGAGGTTACCTTATAACTTTTTGGTAGACTCAATGGAATCAAAACAGCTGACTCAGGCTTTTGCCCAAGTCCAAGTTTTCAAACACTAACCAAAACAAATAAGTCCATCCATGCCTTGAAATGCAAGCTGAATTACAACAATCACTAGTGAGCTATGGTGAATTGTTAACAGTTCACGAAACAGGAAACCAAATATTAGTCTGTTCTTTAAGAATGGGGAAACTACATATTAATCCCACTACAACTTAAGTAGAAAGATCATCACATACCTAGGTCAGCCATTACACCCATTTCCTTAGCGTCATACATGCAAGCTAAGTGTGGTGGATAGATCCCCTTAGTGACAGAACATTTTCAAGGACCACCATCAACTTATATACGGAATTGTGCTAGGTGGTTTAGCTCTCTCTCATGGAGGGCCAGTTCTTTAGATCGACAAACCTATATGAACAAGTGTACCTTCAACCTTGACAAACCTTGGCTGGAGGTGAGGCTAGTGTGCTTAGGTGCATAAAAATGTGCGCACAACCGGGCTAGTTGCAAAGACCCTTGGTGTGAGGCCTTGGGCAAGATGGTGCAGACAAATGACTAAGTCAGTTGGACTTGATCGACCACAGGGACCAGCAGGCTAAGGTGGGGTTGGTCAGACAATGGGCAGCCTGACCTGATAAGATATAAACCATGTGCTTGAGGTGGCTAACCATGTACCTAGCATAGCAGGTGGGTCGACCATAGAGCATAGGAGTTTGAATTTGAGATGTGTGACCGCTCTAGAAATGGGCTTGTGTAAACTACATAGGCCATGTGACAGCAGATAAGTGCACATTGTAAGCATGTTCAAATTGGCACGCACGGGTAGTAATGACCCGTAGTGGGTTGACTAGACCTGTAACCCTCCCTTAGTGAGCTATGTCAGCAGTCATTAATGGTGGAGCATGGGCTGGGATAACTACTAGACAAGGTGGTGGACAATAATTGTGGTGTGAGCATTAATGGCCAGTGTAAATGAGGGAGAGTGCATCCGTGCATGCCCAGGCTATATATATGCCCTTTACTCAGAACTATGAGGGGCATCTGCAGCAATATATGACGAAGTGTATAGAGCAATAAGAGAGGGCTGTGGTCCTTTTTGCATAGCTTTTGCATGCCTATCTTGTATGGTAGTATACTCCATTCCTGTTGCGTGCATTTGTGGTAGGCCGGTGTTGTCTTCCAATTTCGAGTTTGGCGCATTGATGCATAGTTTTGCTAAGTGAAAAGATACCTCCATAACCGATGTTACCACATTCGCTTCAGAGATCTCCTCATTAGGCTCATAAAAGGGAGTACTTCGGCAATTCCACCAATTCAAGGGAAGCCTTTAGCATATATAAAAATAAAAATAGAAATAAAAATAATTAAGGATAATATTAAAATAAATTATAAAAGTCAAAAGTATAAAGTTTTTTATAAATTTAATTTCTTAAAATTTTAAACAATTTTTTACCCCTTTAACTTTTTATTTTATTAATGTCATTGTTTCATTTAGAAAACATATGTTTTTCTCTTCTCTCTCTAGAAAAATAAAGGTCTTTTACAAATGGACCTGATTTTGGTGTGGGAACTACCGCACTAAAAAGTGCTTTGGGACCTACAATATGCAGTGTCCAATTACAATTGATGGTGCAAATTGCAGACGTCAAGGCCTAAGCAATAACATGTGCAGGTCCTAATGCACCAAAATAATTTTCCTTTACAAATAGGCACTACACGTGGCTTGACACATTGAATACACGCACATGTATACATTTAAAATTTTAATACCCCAAAAGTGAGGTACACATTGATGTGAATATAAGCTATAGTTCAAAGAAGGAGAAGATTAAAAAGTTTCCAAACTTTTTCCTACCCAATGCACATCATCAAAAGTCCAACCAAAATTTCCTCTCTTTGCTTCGTTTAGGTGGAGTGTCTACTCCCGAAAGACTTCAGGCGATTCACCCAAACCAAAGCGGAAGTAATAACATTACTCATGATAGCAGCCATCCAAGAAACCATTCAACAAAACCATCACTTTATAGACAATTGATGCGGTGGGTTAAAAAAAAAAAAAGGAGGAAGAAGAAGACACTCTCTCTATCTACGATAGAATTTTACTTCATTCACCAATAAAAAACCACCATTACAATGTACCTTCT